GCCCCGCCGCGGGAGGACACCCGGCCGTCGGAGCAGGGTGGAGGGGAAGCGTCTGGGGACGCCCCGGAGTGGCTCGATGTGTTGGGTGAGAGCCCTGGCAGGAGGGTGCTGGGCTTGTGGGGCCCCCCGGGCTTCCCCACAGCTCTGCTGGTGCTTCCTGCACCACGAAGGCTTGACCAGGAGTCAGAGCAGGGTGGTGGGGGCAAGGATTCGCCCCCCTCAGGCCACGGACTGACGTGTCTCCGGCTTCTTCTTGCCCAGGGAGCGGGTTGCTCAAAAAGAAGACGCTGGTGCCAGGCCGGGGGGTGGACACTCGTCCCCGCAAGGGCCAGGACGTGACCATTCGCCTGAAGGCCACGCTGCAGGATGGCAGGGTGGTGGAGGAGAACCCTGCCCTCACCTTCACGCTGGGGGACTGCGATGTGCTGCAGGTCAGGGCTGGGGCAAACCCTGCCTGGCTTTATCACGGCTTGGTTTTCACCCTGTGGAGCTGGACTTTGCCTCGGGGGGCATGGGGGGGGTTTGGGGTCAATGATGTCCCTGGTTTTGGGTTGGAAGTGGCTCTTCTGCTGTTGTTTTTGTGCTCCCTCCCCACGATGTTGTTCCCCCACAGGCTCTGGACCTGTGTGTGCAGCTCCTGGAAATGGGGGAGACAGCTTTGATCATGTCAGATGCCAAGTATTGCTATGGTGCTCAGGGCAGGTGAGCAGGGAGTGTGTACAGGGGGGCAGGATGACCCCAAACAGGGCTGTGAAATCTGTCCCCTGTGCTCCTGGTGACAGCCCAGCCAGCAAGCCAGAGTTTCATGGGCAGGGAGACCTGCGTGTCCTGCCTGGGGGGAACAACCTGCATCCCCCTGTCCCAAGGAGCTTCCATGGCTCTGATTTCTGGGCCATGGCCCTAAATCTACACATCCCAGTGTTTGCTGGGACAGGCAGAGGTGACAGTAGTGTCACAGTGTTGTGCCCTCATGTCTGTAGGAGCCCTGATGTACCCCCAAACGCGGCCCTCACCCTGGAGGTGGAGTTGCTGGCAGCTCAGGATGCTCCAGACCTGGAGCTGCTCAGTGGGAAGGAGAAGATCGAGCTGGCCAACCGGAAGCGGGAGCGCGGCAACTTCTTCTACCAGCAGGGAGACTACGTGCTGGCCATCAACTCCTATGACATTGCCCTCAAGGTCATTGGCTCCAGCTCAAAAGGTACCTGCTCCCACCCCAGAGGAGGGTCAGTAGGGTCCCTTCCTGCTGTAACTTGGCTCTGGGGTCTTGGCAGTTGACTTCAGCCTGGAGGAGGAGGCCGAGCTGCTGGACGTGAAGGTGAAGTGTCTCAACAACCTGGCAGCCTCTCAGCTTAAATTGGACCATTATGAGGCAGCTCTCAAGTCCTGTAATCTGGTCCTGGAGCACCAGCCAGGGAACATCAAGGCTCTCTTCCGAAAGGGGAAGGTGAGGCCGGGTGTGGGGCAGGCACTGCTATCCCTTCTCCAAGGTGGGACAGAGAACAAGACCAAGGTACAGACCTCTGCTATCCTGCTCAATCCATGTCTCACCTTCCAGGTCCTGGCTCAGCAGGGAGAATACAGGGAAGCCATCCCCATCTTGAAGGCAGCATTGAAGCTGGAGCCTTCAAACAAGGTAGGTTGCTGTGTCACCCTGCTGAGCTGGGTGCCTGCTGGACACTCCTGTTGTCCCTGCAAACCTCAGTGTCCCCTGTGGAAGGCTGAAGCTGTTTCCAACTTCCTTCATGGAGAGAAGCTGGAAAGAGCCCTCAAGGCAGCCATGGGGTGATGCACCTCGTGGTGTAACACCTGAGCTGGGCTGGTGGGTCCCTTATCTCCACGTTACTCCCACTTTGCCCTTTTGTCCTGGTAGTGGCAGGACTCGCTGCCAGTTCCATCCCAGCTCCAGCAATCCTGTATGTCCAGTCCTGGCTGTTCCAGCTTCTCTGCTGGCTGGTGCCCTGGCAGTGGGAAGTGGAGCAGAGCTGAGGCCCTGCAGACAGGCTCCCCAGCTTGATTCACTGGGGGCGGGAGCAGCCCAAGCCTGGATCCAGCACCCAGGTCAGGGCGAGCTCTGGGTCAGGAATTTCCTGTTGGTTAATGATCAGCTGCAGGGCTGGAGCCTCGGGAGAAATCAAATGCCAGTGCCAGGAAATGGCCGAGGCAGGAGCAGTCTGGGCCAGCTGGGGGAGAGGCAGGGAGGTGCTGCCTGAGGGGAGCTCGGTGCTCCAGGTGGGCTTCAGTCTTCAACTGGGTCTGTTTGATCCACTACTTCTTTTCTAGCAATTTCATAGACTCACAGAATGGTTTGGGTTGGAAGGACCTTAAAGATCATCCAGTCCCAACCCCCCTGCATGGGCAGGGACACCTCCCACCAGCCCAGGTTGCTCCAAGCCCCATCCAACCTGCCCTTGATGTCACCAGACCCATCATGATTTGTGTCATGATCTGAATCCTGAAGGACATGGCAAGGATGGGGCACTAAAAGCAGGTGCTTTGGGGTCCTGCAGCACCCCCAGATCTCGTGGTCTGGGAGCACCCATGGGGAAGGGTGAGCAGGATCTCACACCCTTTGCTTCCCGGCGAGGTTTGGGTGGGGTGGACATCAGGAGCAGCTCCTCCTGGTGGGTCTCCAGCACGTCCCTGTTGGCAGAGCAGCTGCTCACCAGCCTGTTTGGATAAAGCCTTTAATTGGAGAGGGGTGAAAAATCCCAATGCCCAGCAGTGACGTTACCAGTGAGACCACAAGCCTGGGCAGTGCCGGAACGCCCGGGAAGTGCCAGGGCCAGACGGGAGCGTTGGACACGCGTGGTGAGTCAGGGCCAACAGCCACTGGTGCTGGAAACAGACTGGAGACCTGCTCAGCTCCACCTGCCTCCAGTGAGGAAGCCTTGATCTCCTCCTGAGCCCTTAGAAATGTGTGTTGTGGGGGCAGAAAGAGACACATTTGTCCTACACCGACGTATTGGCCCTGGTGAGCTGGGGGTTTGCAGGCACTTTGCACCCTCCGCTGTCCGAAGTGTCACGTTCGAGGCAGCGGTTCCGAGCGTGGCGTGATCGGGGGGAAGTCCTGGCTGGGCTCTGGACACCGGTGGTGGTGCCGGTGTCCCCAGCAGAGGGCACAGCGCGGCCGCGGCTCTGGGCGGCTGTGCCACCGCAGCGTCCTTCCTGCCACCGCGGGCTCGGGGGGCGTCTGGCGGGGCCGTGCTGGCTTCACTGGTGCTTCTTGCTGCTTTTTGGGAGGCCGTGAGCCCCACGCAGGACACGGAGCCTTCTCCTGCCCCAGCCGGGCAGGTACCGGCACGTTCCCGTGTTGTGCTGCAATCCTGCTTCAGACCAGGCTGGGTTTAATCCTGCTTTTCCAGCCTGCTCCCAGACAGAAAAGTGGGAAAGCTCGGGCATGTCTGCCCCCAAGGCAGACACTTTGCCATCTCAATTAAAGAAGAAAATCCTTTTCCTGATGTCTGGCATCAGCCCTGGGCTCTGCTCCCCGCTGCCAGGCAGGGAAGGGCTTGGGTGGCCAGAAAGGACAGAGAGACAGACCCAGCAGGCACCCAGCCTGGCTGTCAGGTCCTGGTGCAGCCCCTCGGTGCAAGGGAGCAGGATCAGGCCATCAGCCCCCCCAAGCTGCTTCTGAGCTGTTCCACCAAGCTCCTGCACAGCCCCAGGGTGGTCAGACTGCTGGTGGTGGCACTGTGGTCCCTGTCCCCTCCCCTGCACCACAGGGACAGTTCAGGGCCTCTAACACCACGCTCTCCTCCCCAGACCATCCACGCTGAGCTCTCCAAGCTGGTGAAGAAGCACACAGACCAGAAGAATGTGGAGACAGAGATGTACAGGAAGATGCTCGGGAATCCCAGCGCTGCCGGCGCTCCGGGGAAGTGCAAAGACAAACTGCCCTGGGTAAGGGCTGATGCTGAGCTTCTGGGGGGTGGCAGAGTGGGAGGGGGGCACAAAGGAGGGGTTGGTGTCCCCCCAGGTCCCTGAGAGCCACTGGGGCAGCCTTGCTAGGAATATACCAGTGGGTGCTGCTGTTTTGGCTCTGTCCGCTACATCCCAGCGATGCCAGCTGGAGAGTCGGGATTCTGGTCCCAGCTGCTCGGGAAGCCTCTGGCTGTGCTGGTGAAGAGCCCTGTCAGCTGGGCTGCTGCACACGCCGGCCCTGAGCTGGGCAGAGCCGACGCAGCACTTGCCTTTTTGGGATGCGTTATCTGGGATGTGCACTGGGAGCTCGGCGCTGCCCCCTGGCACCCTGCCAGCACAGGCAGAGCTGCACGTCCCTGCTGCCCGTGGGGCTCGTAGACACCCATCCCATCACCTCACTGGTCTCTCTCCTCCTCAGTCCATCCCTTGGAAGTGGCTCTTCGGTGCCACAGCCATCGCGCTGGGCGGCGTGGCCTTGTCCGTGGTCATCGCAGCGAGGAACTAAGGATGGAGGGGGGCGGCCCCGCGGCGCGGGAACGCGCCAGGATGTGCCCCTCTCCTGCCACGGGGCTTCCCCGGGGTCCCACCCACCCCTTCCCACGGACTCGAAGCTGCAGAAACACAGATGCTTTCTTTGCCGGAGACGCCGGATCCCCCTCCTGACGTCCCCCCCGTGTCCCTCCTGGCACAGGTGGGGACGGAGCTGCGGGCAGAGCACAGACCCCTGAGCACCCTCGCAGCGATGGGGGGGCTCAGCCCCCAGCCCCGAGTGCAGCGGGGGGTGCAGGAGCTCCTGCACACCGGTACAGGGGGGCTGTCCCTGGCCCAGGAAGCCCCGGTGGGTGCCGTGGTCCTGCAGGCTGGGCCAGGGGGGGCACAGGGAAGGAAGGCGTGTGGATCCAAACCAGCACGGTGGTGTCTGCGGGCAGGGAAGCAGTGCAGGTGCACAGCAACATCCCCCGTGGGCTGGGAGGCTGCTGGCAGCTCAGCTCTCCCCCAGACACCCCCTTCCCTCCCTCAGCACTTCCCCACAGTGTGCAATGTCCGAAGGAAGCCAAAGATCCCTGCGGAGGGAGGGGAGCAGGAGGGGAGCTCCAGGGGCCCCTCACTGGGATGTCTTTTGTGGGTCCAATCTCTGGGGTGGGGGGTGGTCCCTCTTTACCCTGCAGCTCTCCCCAGCCCCGGGGCCCTCCCTACCGCTGCCCCAGCTCTGCTCCCAGGGGGTTGTAGCACTGTCCCTCCTGCCCCAAACCAACTGTGAACTTCCCAAATAAATAACTATTCCTTCACTGCCCGACTTTTTTATTGCCTGCACGGGGGGGTTGCTCCTCTGGGCTGTACCCCCTATTCTGGTCAGACCCAGGGCTGCTGTGGGTGCCAGGAGTGGATACTCAATTGGGGGGGCAAGTGGGAATTTCTGTACAGACCCTGCTCAGCTCTGTCACCGCCGGGGATGCTCCGTGGCCGGGGCTCTGGAACAGCCCGGTGAGCACCGGGCTCTGCCCTGGGGTGCCCGGGGCCCTGCTGAGGGGGGGGACGTGGGGCCTCCAGGTGCTCCAGGGCTACCCAGGGGAGGCCTGGGCCTGCAGGCCGTGCCTGGAGGGCACCCGCAGACCCCCGGCATTGCTGCGGGG